CCAAGTCAAGGGTTAAGATCCCCTTACCGGTCATCTTTAAAAAAAAAAAAAAAAAATACAAGCATTTTATGAGGGGTGAACTAATGGAGACAAAACTGCTATCTACCCTAAGTGGATCATTGCACAGTATATGCATGTATTGGAACAACACACTGTACCCCACAAAAATATAAATATAAATATAAAAATATAAATATATTTATATAAATATAAATAAAAAAACAAGCATTTTAAGTTTTAAATTCAAGCATTTCCTACACAATACACAAAATTAACACCAATTAAGACTTGGGGCAAATTACTATAAGAAATGTACAGCAGAAATTTTTTTCATCACTTACTAATTCATCACAAAACTCAATTAAATAAAACCTAAGATTTGCCAGAACCTATCCAAAATTGTTATAGAAGGAAGCAAATTACAAAGTACTACTTGTTTAGGTAAGCCATAACAACTTTTAGATATAAAAACTATTCTCTCAATGTGTTTCATAATGCATTTGTTTTCCCCCCCCCCAAATTATGACTTTCTAAAAGATACACTGTGGGTAATAAAATTATACAGTTTTCAGCAACATAGGTTGTGGTAAATTATTCACAGATACTGAAGATGTAAAGCAAGAATCGAAATTCTGGTGTGCATCCTGCTTTCAGATGCTTTGACAATACTATTGCACTGCTAGCTGTAAAGTACAGTAGTGCAATAAAGTCAGAGCATTCGTTAGCAGTAATAAGTAGGAAAGGAACACAAAAGCATCTTGAATCAGTTGAAGCTTCAGTGCAAAAGGAATTTAAAGTGGGGTTGCCATTTTGGAGAGAAGACATCCAAAACCTAAAAATATTTATATCATTGTTTAAAAAAAACACAATTAATACTTAAATATCAAGGTGATATTGTTTTCTGATGACTAATTTACAATTAACATTCAAGCAGAAACATGCATAGATGTAGAAAGGAATTCTACATGTGTCCTAAATTCTAAATATGTCCTAAGCCTTAACAGTAATTAACATGGGTATTGTTAATACCTTAGGGTTGGTATTAACAAAACTGGTTATAATTACTACTAAGGCAAAGTTGTGAAAAATATTTCTGCTCCCTGCTGAGATGTTTTGTTGGTTAGCTCCTTTTCCAAGGTTGATTAAGTGCTGTATGAAACAAGCCCTTTGAAAAAGAATATCAAAGAAAACAAATGAAAAGTAAAACAACTTTCTCAACCTCTACATATCCAATCTATCACTCTGGAACCTAAACTACAATAAAAAACACAAACACACACAAAAAGCACTTACCATCTTATGGCTTTTTATCTCAAGAGTTTACTGAGGGCTATTATGACAAGGGAAGAGACCACCAGAATCAATGTGTTCTAAAAAGAACATTAACGCTACCTAATTGAAAACTGTACTATAAGAGGGAATTTTAGAGTTTCAGTTAGCTCCTTAAACATCTTAAATATAGGAGGAAAGCATCTTCATTTCCTTCAAACTTAAAGATATCAAGGAGAAAAGAATAATGTGGGGAGCAGGGGGTTGAGGTTTAAGTAGCTAAATAGTTAGTTGCAAGCTAATTAACATACCAACCTTTTAACTGGCAGGAATCCATTCAAAAGTCAGATGTAAGCCCAAGAATGGAAATAGTATCATAGTATCAAATTGCACTACCTTGTGTATGCAATCACTAGTGGTAACATAAAAGGAGGGCACTAGACAAATACATCCAATCAATAAGCGAAGCGAAAAAAGTTAGAGAACAAAGATTACCCTACAATGAGCTTATTCCCACAATAGTAATGTTGATTGATGCAAAAATACATTTCCATTATTTTCACCAACCTCCCTTTAAATGGTCCAGTTCAGCTACTTAGTTAGATTAAACCTAGTAAGAAACGGACTCAAATTCAGAGCAGCTGAACATGAGTGTCTTGGCCTCAAATCCTGGGCCAAATACTCACATATTAGAATACTTAACTCTGCTAGTCAAGTATCAGGTCTTAAAAACAAATGTTTAATTAGTTAGAATGCAGTCTTACATCACCAAGGTCACAGGTTTGGATCCCAGTACAGGCCAGCCGCCCAAAACAAACAAACAAAAACAAATAAACAAAATAAAACAAATGTTTAAGGGACAAATGTTTAACTTCCTGAATTGAAAGTTAATACAAACAAGAAAAATATGAAAAAAAATTAAGTTAAAAGGATCAAGCTATCAGTCTACAAAATTAGAATAAGCACTTTCTTTTCAAAGTTGAATAGTGTGCATTCTCTTTTCACCTATTAAATATTCAACACTGGTTCCTTGGCAAATCCTTTATTCAAGTAACGTAAAACTAAAAATCATAAGATTGCACAGGAAATCATTTACCTTTAGAATCTTAGGAAATAAACGAGTTCACAGATACAACATTTTTTTCCAAAAGCCCAAAGGAAATCTGAAGATGAGAGGCACTATCTTTTGCTATCTAGCCAATACAAAGCTGTAATATTAAAAACCAGGAAAACGTCCAAATACATGTTTTAAACCCTAATGATCACAAAAACAAACTAATAACTTTAAAAAACGAACAAAAAAACCTACCACTAATTTATTTGCGAAGAATTTTAAAAAGGAAATAACCCTGCTTTCTTTTCTTGCTCTCTTCAAAAAGAATTTAAAAGCTCTCCCATCATTCAAACAATATCTAAAACTTTAAAAGTCTAGCTCATAATTTTCTAAACTCTACTTTTTTCAAAATGTTTACTTAATCGTTTTTCCCCTAAAATAGAATTTGTTCAATCTAAAGCATTCCTGTAAGAATACTGACATTATAGCAAAGGCCAGAAAAACCTGAAAAATTAAAATTAAACAGCCAAATTGAGGGGAAAAAAAACTTGCTAAAAACAGAATTAGCGTCATTTAGCATCTAACAACTAAGGAGAAATATCTATATCTGGAGGGAGAAATTCAGAATGGGGGAGGGGGCAAGACAGTCTTAACAGTTATGCCTGTTGATAGAATCAAACTATAATACTTAACTAGAATACTTATATGTGTGTTTTTAAAAAGAATACTTATATGTGTGTCTTTAAAGACAATTAATGATAAAAACTAACAAAACTTTGAACTAAAAGTTCATTACTACAGGTTTAGAAAGCTGCAGAAAACTCTTGCTGCTCCTCTGCCCTTTCTCCAACCCACCTCCACACCCGCACCCCCTCCACAAAGAAAATTTAAACACAAAATGTTAAAAGCAACTGAAAGCCTTCAAATCAAATTTGCATATGAGAGGCATTCCAATTCATTAATACCTCAGAAGAAAATAATAAGATATATCAAGGCCTCACATTTTTGGGGGTGGGAATGTGGGGGTGAGGGTGATACTCAGTTTCTCCCAGGATCCCCACACGTCCTTTCCAAGGCAGAAGTCAGAGACACAAGATTCAGCTTGGAGAGAGCAGCACAGGCACAAACGACACCTAAGCAATAATGCCAGGGAATGGCGGGGGGACGTGGAACGGATTGCGGATGGAGAAGTTTTTTATCTTAGTCTCGTTATTTTCTTTAACCAACACACGAAAACCGACAGAAGCTCAATGACCGGTGCTTCCTGACACCTAAGCAATAATGCCAGGGAATGGCGGGGGGACGTGGAACGGATTGCGGATGGAGAAGAAGTTTTTTATCTTAGTCTCGTTATTTTCTTTAACCAACACACGAAAACCGACAGAAGCTCAATGACCGGTGCTTCCTCCAAATTCCTCCTTTTTAAGGAAGCCAGTTCAATCTGAATAATACAAGAGAAAAAGGACTGAAGACAGAACCGAGGGAACTGAGAAGAAAAAAGCGCGGGCGACCAGGCTGGTAGTCCAGGGACGGGAGGGAGGGAATAAAGCAGACAAGTGAGGGAAAGACCTCTGAAGAAAACTAGGACAGTCCCCCCCCCGGCGCCCTTGTGCAGGCCAAACACGCCAGCAACAAGGGGAGTCCCTTCCAATTAGTTGCCCTCGCCCTCTGCTTTCACAGATGAATGAAACCGGGCAACTCGAGCGCAGGGTGCCGTCCCTGTCCCGATCCCGCCCGCGCCCCCATCACTCACACCTCTCCTCACCCAAGGCTCGCCACCTTCGGGCCAAACATAACGGGGAAGGGCTTCCTTGGCCGCTAGGAAGTTGTGCACGCAAGTCCAGCATCCTCTCTTACACTTTCTCAGCCCGCCTTTGAGAACAGGAACGGTTCAGCCCTGAAGGGATTTCTCCCCGCCCCGCTCGGTTTACTCCCCACCCCACCCTCCATCCCCGCTTTTTTTGGAGCATAAACGACCCCTCCGCTTCTTGGGGCATTTAGGAACCGTTCCAGTCACATCTTCTTGGTAGAAAAACACTGAACACTGTCCGTACCAGGCGCAGCTCCTTCAGGGCTGGAAAGGTGAGGGCAAAGAAAAAGAAATCCCAATGGCCCCGCACCCTCGGCATCTCCCGCCATTTCCCTCACGAGTTTCCCGGATGTAACCCTTTCCCCGCGGCGGTTTAGACACCAGGCGGTGGCGGCTCCCTTTGGTGCGGGAGGAGGGAACTCGAGTCTGGTCCAGCCTCCGCCGCCCAGAGTTTACGGCGACTCCAAATTACGGACCACCTTCGAGGCCAGTGGAGAAAAATAAACTACCCAGTAGATCTCCTTCACTTTGCACTCACCATCAGCTCCAGCTTATCGACCTCCGCCTCCATGTTGAATAGTTGACATTCCTCAGACCGTGGCAGCGCTTAAACCGCAAGCCGTACTAGCACTGGGGATCTCTATTGGACAGCTGTCACTCAATGTCTCGCACTCATTGGCTCTTTCGTTTCACTAGTGCCCGCCCACTGGCGACTGGGTAACGCCCCTCCGCATGAAACACATTTTCCCGTTGGGCAAAGACACAAAACGCCGCAGGAGGATTGGCTGCCATACACATTTTTTTCCCCATTGGTTGCCCCTCTTCTCTATTTTCAATTTCATAGTTAGGGCTCACCAGAGAAGAGCTTGCGATTGGTGCAACTGGAAGAGGAGCTAACCAATTACGCCAAAGCTTCCACCACAGCATAGGGGACCTGACACACCTTCGTTCTTCTGCTGCCCCTCCCCTTCTCTCCCGCCTTTCCCTTATTCATACCAGAAGCGCCTTAGCTCTGATTGGCCGGAGCTTGATGCTATTTTAGCCAATCACAGCTAGGCTATGCTGCTACACTACCGGGAGAGCGAATTGTGTACAGACCAGGCCTGCGATTGGTCCCTTCATGACAAGGATTTAATTTTGAATTTTTTTTTACAGCATGAGAGAGGCCACTGCCGGACTCCATCTAATCCCCAGGCTCTTAGACTAGTAAGTGCAGGGACGATTCCTTCTCTGTTTCCTGGTCTCGTCTTCGTAGCTGCGCCTGTTGCTGCTTGTGTTATTAGGGCTTAAGAAGGTGGGAACTTTGGCTGGACTTGAAGTGGTGATTGAGAGGGGAAGGGGAGGTTTGGAGCTGGGGAAGAAGTGCTTGGCCTGCTTCCGTCCTAACCATACTTCTGTTTAATTAATACTCCGCAAAATATCTTTTGGGGCAAAGCATCCGCTTTTCTTTTGCATGTTCCTTTACATCTTTGCTTCTCAAAGTGCGTCCACGGACCAGTGGCATTGGCATTATATGGTCGCTTGTTACAAATCCAAATGATAGGACTCCACCCAGACTTACTGAATCAGAATATGCATTTTAACAAGATTCCCCCTATGGTTCTTATGCACATTATAGCTTGAGAAGGTACATTTCCTGACTGGGAGTTTTGCTATGTTCCTTGATAGAGTCTTAATATTGTCCGACATTCTGTAAGAGTGTGAATTTTTAAAGTATGCCTTCTTACTGCTGTGCTGGACGAGACTTTGGGGAGCTGCAATCTCTTTAGAGAAACAATACAGGAACTAAAAAAGCAATGTAGCACAGCATAAAACGTAAAATTAATTAGGAGTAAGTACCAGAAATAGTGCTGTGAATGTTCAAGAAGACTTATTCGAAGTGGTAAGGGAAATTGGTAAACTGACTGAAGGTTATTTGTTGAGGAGTGTAAGAGAGCTCCATAAATATGTGTTTCAGGAAGATGGTCATGACATGTAGCTGTCATTTCCATTGCTGCCGCAACTTTGGAAGTGCCACTGACCGAAGAACTTTTCATATCACCGGGTGGGATTTTAACAGAAGCAGCAGTGCCAACTTCTGAACAAGGCTGTAATTCTTACTCCGTTATTTATTGCATCTTCCTACTGGAGAATAGTTTGGGACCCATCCTTTAACCATATGAAGGTGTGGTATGATTTGAAGAACTGAAAATCTCCCTGACAAAGAGATTTCTCAGAATTTAATTGTATTAAACTATAATCCTGAAGGTCTGAGTTCAGTGGTGTTTACAGCTAATTGATTACAATCAGTTACAGATTTCTTTGTTCCTTCTCCACCTCCACTGCTTCATTTGACACTCCTAAAAATAAAAAAAATAAAAGAGAGTATATTCCTTAACTAAAAGAACGCTTGCTAGGTAACACTTAGCAAGTATGATTTCTTTCACTCATTTATTGAGTGAGACATTATTTAATGCCTGCTATACTCTAGATGCTGGGGAAACAAAGATGAATAAAATTTATCCTACCCTTGAAAAGCTCACAGTCCAGCGGGTGACAGACATGCAAACAAAAATTATAATGCAACGTAATAAATTTTATAATAAAGGTGAATATGAAGTGCTACAGAAGCACAAACATAAAAGAGATGACGTTTTGCCAGTATAAACTCCATAGGACAGAGACCAGGTTGGTCTTGTTCAGGATTGTATCCCAGCACCTACCATAGTGCCTGATGGATTATAGGCATTTAACTGACATCTATAAGATAAAGTAACAGAATCTTGAAGGCTAAGTATAAGCTGACCTGGAGGAGGATACCCCAAACAGGGGGAAAAGCTGGTAACACTGTCGAAATTATTTGGTGTTTGTTATACCTCAAGTACAAACTGCTAGTCACTAGAAGGTATGAGAATGCAAAGGGTCCTTAGAGCTAAGTTGTGAAAAGCTTTGAAAGGCATGCAAAGGAATTTGGGTTTTATTCGGTGGGTAAAGAAACTTTTACCAAGGTGAAGGTTTCAGATCCCCATACTGGCCAGCTGAAAAAAAAGAAAGAAACCTTCAAAAACTTTTAAGAAAGGGAATATCAGGATATTTGAGGGGTGGAGTGAGGCAGGGGGCAGCTGGCCAGTACAGGGATCAAACTCTGGACATTGTTGTTATGAGCACCACGCTCCAACCAACTGAGTTAATCAGCCAGCTCAATATTTTGTTTTAAAATACTAACTCTGAAAATTAAAAAATTAAAAAACAAAAAAATAAAACAAAACAAAGCAAATAGGATACTAACTCTGATAACTGTGGAAAATGAACTGGGATGGAGAAAGACTGAAGGCAGGAGGATCATTGAAGAAACACTCAGACAAACCTAAACTGAGAAACATTCTCCAAAACAACTGGTCTGGACTCTTCAAAAATATGAAGAAGCAAATACATATATTGAACACTTTGCCAAAAAAAAAAAAAAAAAAAAAGACACTTGTGAATGATGATACCAGCCATTTATTCCTTCTCTAAAGAACTGAGGGTCCCTTTAAGTATTTTCAAGTTAGGATACAAAAAAGAAGTCAGAGGAGCCAAATCAGGACTGTAAGGTGGATGCCTAATGATGTCCCATTGAAACTCTTGCAAAATTGCCCGTGTTTGATTTGAGGAATAAGCAGAAGCATTGCCATGGTAGCGTAGGACTCTCTGGTGAAGCTTTCCTGGGCATTTTTCTGCTAAAGGTTAGGCTAACTTTCTCAAAACACTCTCATAATAAGCAGATGTTATCATTCTTTGGCCCTCCAGAAACTCAACAAGTAAAATGCTTTGAGCATCAAAAAAAACTATTATCATGACCTTTGTTCTTGACTGGTCAGCTTTTGCTTTGACTGGACCACTTCCACCTCTTAGTAGCCATTGCTCTGATTGTGCTTTGTCTTCAGGATAATGCTGGTAAAGCCATGTTTCATCTCCTGTTACAATTCTTCGAAGAAATGCTTCAGGATCTTGATCCCACTTGTTTAAAATTTCTACTGAACACTCCACTCCTGTCTGCAGCTGATCTAGCACAACAGTTTTGGTACCCATTGAGTGAAAAGTTTGCTCAATTGTCATTTTTCAATCAGATGTCTATGGTGTTGGCTATTGTTCTGCTGTTTATCATCAGTCCTTGTCAATTAGGGCATAAACAAGATTAATTTTTTCATTGCAAATTGATGTGGATGGTCTACCACAATGAACTTCATCTTCAACATCATCTTGTCCCTTCTTTTTTTTTTTTTTTAAAGATGACCGGTAAAGGGATCTTAACCCTTAACTTGGTGCTGTCAGTACCACGCTCTCCCAAGTGAGCTAACCGGCCATCCCTATATAGGGATCCAAACCCATGGCCTTGGTGTTATCAGCACTACACTCTCCCAAGTGAGCCATGGGCCGGCCCGTCTTGTCCCTTCTTAAAACTAGTTATCCATTTGTAAACTGCTGATTTCTTTGGGGCACTGTCTCCATAAACTTTTCATAAAGCATTAATGATTTCACCATTCTCCAGCTCAAGGTTCACCATAAATTTGATGTTTATTCTTGCTTCAATTTTAACAGAATTCATGGTGCTGTGGTAGGGGCTCTTTTCAAACTGATGTCTTATCCTTCTTAGTGCCTCAAACTAGATCTTGTTCAAACATGTTATAACAAGTTAGGATGAGTTTATCTTGGTGCAAAAATATTTTGAAATCCATGCATAGTTTTTTCATAATACTCATTTCCCATGAACTTTTTGAAAACCCCTCCTGTGTATACACACACAGAAAGAGAGAGAACCTGTACAAATATGGCAATTAACCATTGGTGAATCTAGGTGAATGGAATATTAGTGTTTATTATACTATTCTTGTAAATTTTCTGAAGGCTTAAAAATTTTCCAAATAAAAAGAGTAGAGGAAAATAGTCTACAGCAACAACAACAACAAAAAAAAAGGGGCAATCCCAGGGGAAGATGGTGAAGGCAACTAAAGTTAGAGGATAGAAAGGGGAGGGATGGGAAGAAGGGACAGGGTGAATTAATCAGAGAAATATTTCTGATTCATACTCACACTGTGCCCACACCCTCTCTTTTACAACCCTCTACGCCAGTGGGGGTTTCCATTGTCTCTTAAATCTTTCTACCTTCCTAATTATTTCTTTTCTATATCCTTCTCCACCTATGCCTTATACAGTGTTTCTCAAAGTTCAGTGATCTTTGCTCACAGATCTTTCCACTCCACATGTTTCCCTGTGTAACTTCATCCATTTCTAGTGCTGCCTGTGTTGCTTTTTTCTTGCTACCTATACACTTATGATTTTAGTATTTCTCTTGTATCTTTCCTCTGAATTTCTGACTTTGAGCATAAAACAGAACATAAACAGTTAGATGTCCTGAGATACCCTACTATCACTCCTATAATCAGGTCCTCATCCCCTAGACAGTTGCAGTAGGCTTCTAAGTGATCTCTTTGCCTCCAATCTTGGCCCCATAAATCCATCTTCCACAACTCTGCCAGGGTCAGTGTTTTTTTTGTTTTGTTTTTGTTTTTCGGCGGCTGGCCGGTAGGGGGATCCAAATGCTCCACCTTGGTGTTATAGCACAGTGTTCTTTTTAAAATGCAAATATGAGCATAACACTCCCCTGCTTAGAATCTATTATTGTTTTTGATGTTTTGGTCCCTACCCACCCTCCAGCTTCATCTCTCATTACTCCCAACCCACACTTTATGCTGCAGAATATGCTTTCATAACGCTGAATCCTGTCTGTGGATTCCCTCCCATACCTTTCTGTTAAATGTCTTCATGCCTTGGCTCATGCTATTCCCTCTGATAGAATGAGACCCCCAACCCCTACTTAGCCTAACTCCTTCAAAACTCAGCTTAGTCAAAACCTTTTCTTTTTTTTTTTTTTTGTCTTTTTTTGTCTTTTGTCTTTTTTCCGTGTCCGGCAACGGATCGCAACCCTCAGTGCTGCCCCCGTACCGGACCGGGGACTGGCAACGGGACCGCAAGCCTCGGTGTTGCTCCCGCGCCTCGCTCAGCCAGTGAGCGGGAGCCGGTCTGTATGTGGGATCCGCACCCTCGGACGGGAGCGCCGCCGCGCTTCCCAAGCGGCGCACTATCCAGTGCGCCACCGGGCCGGCCCCAAAACCTTTTCTAAAAGGCTCCAACCCTTATGGGAGAATTATGTGCCCTCCCCCAACCCCTACTTAGCCTAACTCCTTCAAAACTCAGCCTAGTCAAAACCTTTTCTTTTTTTTTTGGTCTTTTTTTGTCTTTTGTCTTTTTTCCGTGTCCGGCAACGGATCGCAACCCTCAGTGCTGCCCCCGTACCGGACCGGGGACTGGCAACGGGACCGCAAGCCTCGGTGTTGCTCCCGCGCCTCGCTCAGCCAGTGAGCGGGAGCCGGTCTGTATGTGGGATCCGCACCCTCGGACGGGAGCGCCGCCGCGCTTCCCAAGCGGCGCACTATCCAGTGCGCCACCGGGCCGGCCCCAAAACCTTTTCTAAAAGCCTCCAACCCTTATGGGAGAATTATGTGCCCTTCCTCTATTTCCCCATTAATAACTTGTGCATATTTTGTCATGACACATACCATATTATATTGAAATTACCTATTTATTTTCTGCCTACCTATCTCTCCAGACTATCAACTCTTGGAAGGCAGGAATGTATCTTATTCATATTCCTAGTGAGTTATTAGTAT